GCTCGGTGGTAAGGACAGCACCATCACACCTACTGCTCGCAGTCTCCGCACCGAATCCCCTCGCTAAGGCGGCTTCGAAGAGCTGGCAGGCGACACTCCACGCCCAGCAGCCCCTCACCTCCCCTTTGTTGTGACGCCCCGCGCCACGTGAAGCCACAACACACCCCCGGAAGTGAGCGGGACGGAGGAGTCCTCGTTGTACTCCCCCCCCCCCCCCCCCCCCCCCCGCTGAGGCCCGAAAGGAGGCGGAACTAATGGTGCGGCCCGACGTTTCCCGGCCGGCCGGAAGAGCGGAGAGCACTGAGCGCGGAGCCGCGGGAGCCCGGGACAACCTAAGCGCTGCTCCCGCGACATGGCTTTCAATTTTGGGGCTCCTTCGGGCACGTCTGGCACCTCTGCAGCTACCGCGGCACCCGCGGGTGAGTCAGCCCCTGGACCTCCTTCCAAGGCACGCAAGCCTTGGGCCCGCCCCCTCGGTCCGATACCACCCGGCTGGGGGTCCGGGGTCGCCCCGGCACGCGGGACACCGTGGGGACATTTGGAGAGGGTTGGCGGTGGCGGCCGTGGCGGAGGCGGGAGGGCCGCGGGCTGCTCAGGCTCGGCCTGGGGCTCGCACGACGCGCGCATACCGCGTGGCCCGGTCGCCGGGTGGCTTCCCGCCACCGGGGACTCCGCCCGGGAGAGGCCGGCCGGAGGCGACGCCCCTCTCCCTTCCCGGGACCCCGGGACCCCTCGTACGGCTCGGCCTCCCGGCCCAGGGGCTTCCCTCCGTCCCCTCCCCAGCCCGGGGGATGCTGGCCCCTGCCCCTGGTGCCCTTCGCTCCTCTCTCTGTCCCCACCTCCTCGGCTCTCTCAACCGGTTCCGGTGCCGGTCAGGTTTATCCACGCTGTGAAGCCTCTTGCTGATTCTTGTAATTCTTATCTTGCTTTCTTTTCCTTTTCTCTTCCCCACCTCTCACGTTTTCAAATTTTTGTTTCTCTGCCTCCACGTCTATCAGGATTTGGTGGGCTTGAGACTGCCAACTCCACCGCCGGTGGGTTTAATTTTGGGGGTTTCGGATTAACTGCTAACCCTGCAGTGAACTTTAATATTGGGAATTTCGGTGTTTCTACCACCTCGGCGACTCCGTTCAATTTTGGTAACAGTCTGACGAGTGCAGGTAGATACTGCGGGTCATGTGTATAACGAGGGTCGGGGGCTGGAGTCCAAGAATGTTCCGATGTTCCTAGATTTGGGGAGGGGGGGATTGCACTTGTCTTAGAAGGGAAGGGTTCGTTTCCTGAGGTCAAATTGAGTGTATATCAAGTTTTGACTTTCTTAAAAGATGTAATTTTTTTTTTATTGGAAAGCCTGGAGAGCTAGAATTCTCGTTTGTGGGTTTGCATTTAATCATACAGAGTACATCTTCAAAATAAGAATTTGGAATGGAATTTATTTTGAATTAGAATGTTTTTCAAATTATTAGCTGCAGTATAAGCTCAGTGGTTCCCTGGGATTCTTGGACTCCTGCAGTCATTTTTCATTTTTTATACATATTTCATTGGGATTTCATCTTATTGTCCTTGTGTTTCCAAGAGAAACAAATCTTATACGAACAGCGGTGACCCGTCTTGTTTTTCAATCTGTAGGACAACGTTTTTCTTCCATTAATTCAACTGTTAGTATGTATTTCTACGAGATGTAATCGTAGAAAGAATCTCCAATTCTTTGCTACATTTTTGGGAAAGTCTCCATGAGCATTTTAATTTACCAGCTGACATTGAGCTCTAAAAAGTAGGCTAGACATCTTTGCACTCAAAAAGAGAATTATGAAGATTTTTTAAAATGCAGGTTTGAAGATCTTTAAAATTTTTCAAAACACAAATATAATGGGTGTGTATGTCCCAATTTAAAGTAGGCTTATGTGAGTTCAACGTAAAGTGACCCTTGAAAACATCTTGACCCTCAGCTGCTCGTATATGAATTTATCGTCCATAGTCTGTTATGCCGCTCTGCCCATGCCAATTATACGCATTTGGTAAACATTACTTCCTGAGCTGACTTGGACAGTCAGGTATTTTGTCCATTCACTTGGTTCCACATTCTGTGTGTCGCCTTATTCTCTGAGCTAAAAACAATGTGACATAGACTTGAACATGCCAAAGATAAAGATGTATTAGAAGTGTTTACATAGCACTGCCCTTGCTGTGTTTGTGTTTCTACTTTGCTTAAAATTGGCACTGGGCAAAACACACCTTATTTTGAAATTTATGTTTCAGAATAAAGCAAATCCATGTTCAACAACAACAAATAAACCTGTTTGTATTTGCCTGATTTCATGTCCGTTTGAAGTTGTCACTGTTGAGTTTTGAGTTGTACAAATAAAATTGTGTTTTGATGGCTTTCAAATATGTTAATTAACAGCCTAAACAAAAAGCTATAAAATTAAATTTTTTGTAGCCATGCAGGTCTACTCTTTCTAATAAAGCGTTTTTGTTTTTTTGAAACATGATAAGATACTGACTAGTGTTTTTATTTTGTAGCCAGTTGCGATAACATAGTTATTCTTTGAAAGCAGGAAGATAAAGGGGGACTAAAGACAGTACTTCCTATTTTAGGTGTTGAATCAAAAAGTTTAGCTGGCACTATTGCAGTAGAATCTATGTTACGTGTGTGCAACAGCCTATGCACTAAATTTCTAAATCTGAATTGTATTGTTTTAAGTTGGAGACTCACCAAGTGATGAAGTGCTTGCCTGCCTAGCAGGATCCCAGCACCACAAAATTGATTAAAACTAGTTAAAAAATTTTTTGAGACAGCTTTTCACTATGTAGTCCATCCTGCATTAGCTTCTGTCTGGATGGGATTGTAGACACTCGCTACCACACCCATCCTCTGTTGCAGTCTTGATGAGGCTATTCTATTACAAGAAATAAGTTCAAGTTAGACTCTCAGAACCCAGCATTTATGGTTCAGATGTTTGTTTTGAATGTCTTTGACAACATATTTATAAATAGGTAACTACTACTGATACTCTTTTTAAAAATTGGGCTAGCATTTCATTGTAGTCATATATTGTCAGATATGCCACGATTATTTTGTTTCTAGACTTACTTAAAAGTAAAATCAGTTGCCATGATGTGCCTCCGAGGCCTGTGGTAGCCATGCCGCTCCTCCACTTTTTTCCTTCAAGAAACACGTTGTTATTTTACAGAGGAAAGAAGCCTGTTGGTGTTTCCTTTGAAAAGTTGTTGCACACAGACTAAGGAGAAACGTGAGCTAATATAGATGTAATTTAAGTTATGGAAATTAAGGTTGCAAGCTGGCAAAGCCATCTGCTGCCATTACATGCTAGTTTGTTTTTTATTTTGTTGACTTTTCCAGGGCCTTGAACTCAGTGAGATCCACCTGCCTCTGCCTCCCGAGTGCTGGGATTAAAGGCCACCACTACCTGATGCAAAGCTACTTTTTAAACAACTCTATTGTCAGTAAATGCTTAGTCTAATTAATTTTGTTACTCAAAATCATACAGACACTTCAATTTGTAATCGCTAGTCTAAAGGTACATCTGTATCATTTTACAATTATGGCAAAGGTTTTAACATTTTTTAATCATGTTACCCATTTAGTTAAAAGGACTGTGTATTGCACCATGTTATTTCTTTTTAAAATACTTCATCAGTTATTTCTTACAGTGTATTAGTAATAGTGTAGGATTTTTTAATGATGCTGCAAAAAAGGAAAAATTTAGATCAATGTTTTCTTTGTATTTAGCAACTACTTTAAAAAATTTAAAGATGAAATTCCCTCTATGTACGCAAAAGAACCTTTATGTTTTATCTTTTTTATTTAAATTAGGTGGGTTTGGAGGATTTGGAACAACAACTACAACTGCAGGCTCTGCATTCAGCTTCTCTGCCCCAACAAACACGGGCAGCACAGGTAAGAGGGCTGAAGTCATCTGGAGAGGACGTACGGGAGACGTTAGAAACGTTCTTAACTTACCTGATTCTGATTTTTCCTTGAAAGGCCTTCTCGGTGGCACTCAGAACAAAGGTTTTGGCTTCGGTACTGGTTTTGGCACAGCGACGGGAACTGGTACTGGTTTAGGTACTGGTTTGGGAACCGGCCTGGGGTTTGGAGGATTTAATACGCAGCCGCAGCAGCAGCAACAAACTAGTAAGTGCGATTTTATCTTCAGATGTAAAGTTGTGGCCATAACAGCTAGCACCATGGCTTCAAGTGCAGATTGTCTTAGTGTTAAGGACTATGAATAGGTTCCAAGGAATTCCAAAAGCTGCTCTTCATGCTTGTGCTTGATAGTTAGGGAAAGCCCGAGCAGCACGGTTAGGATGTAAGGGCCCTATGTTTGCAGTCTGTCCGGTAAAAGTTTTGTCATTTCTAACAGTGATACAATTGGAGAAATCTGTATACGGTGTAACTTACTGTATTATTTATATGGGCACACTCTTGTCATGTCAAGGCAGACCCTGAGCCAGCTCCATGTTTCCTTATAGGCACTGCTCCACTGGAGGGTCTGCTGTCCCGTCTCTTACGGCCTTCTTCATTTCTCTGTGGTTCTGTCACTCGAGTGTGTCAACATAACTCTTTAGCTTTGCCGTTCTTAGATCTCTGCAAGCCTTCTTTTATATTATCAGTTCATGGAAGAAGTCCTGTCTTTTGTCTTTCAGAGGATTTCAGCCAGTTCTTTACTGTTCATTCTTACGTGGTTAAACATAGTGTTTGTCGGTCTCGTATTGTTGAGTGGGATTTAGGGGCTTATTTACATAGTTTCAATTTTTTTATTTGTAAGACGATATCATATATCCTTTATCAAGAGGTATATAATATCTAATTTTTTGTAATGATTCTAGCAGTCATTGGTAATCATTACTTAGATCAGTTCATCTATTACTGATTAAGGAGTTATGTTCATCTAGATTTTTCTTACATTTGTTTGTTGGAATTCATCTGTAACAAATTTTACCTTACTTATGTGGTTCTGGTTTGTTGTTGTTTTTAATGTTGGGTAATACAGTCAGCCCTGTGATCCCCCCACCCCAATAAGACTTGTCTCTCCAGCTCTTTTTTTTCCTAGGAGTGTGTCAGCAAAATCTTGCTTCATCGGCCTCAGCCTTTTGGGTCCTGTTCTTTAAAATTAGGCTACCATGCATTTAAACTTTGTTTACTTTGGTCTATTGTGAGTCAAACATGGATCCACTGGAAGAGCAACAAGCACTCTTTTTTTTTTTTGGTTTTTCAAGACAGGGTTTCTCTGTAGCTTTGGAGCCTGTCCTGGAACTAGCTCTTGTAGACCAGGCTGACCTCGAAATTACGGAGATCTACCTGCTTCTGCCTCCCGAGTGCTGGGACTAAAGGTGTGCACCACCACGTCTGGCTTGTTTCGTTTTTAAAGCTCTGTTTATCTAGGTCAGCTGCCCTGTCTCTCAAGCATCAGGTCTCAGCAGTCCGATCTGTTTTCTAACTGTGCCACCAGTTTGGGTTATCAGAGCATCTGTAGAGCTGTTTGCTCAGATAGCCATGCCCTCTGCCCTGCCCTACTGAGGGGTCAGTGACATGCAAGACCTTGACAGCATCTAAAGTGAACATCCCACAAGCTGTTGCTCATTTAATGGGCCCTTTCAGCTGTTTCCAGTCTGCTCCTCTTTGACGGCCTCAGGCTGTGGGCAGCTGCCTCTTGTTTGCTTTACCTCTTGGTTTCCTTGGCTGACGCTCACCCGCTTGTAAGATGGTATACAAATTGGTTCCCAAGTTAGGACATGACAGCTGGGAAGGGGTTTACGCACTGTTCTTGAATCTAAGTTTTCTGGATTTGTTTTTTGTTGTTTTTCCTTTCTAAGCTTTAGGTGGTCTCTTCAGTCAGCCTACACAGGCTCCTGCGCAGTCCAACCAGCTCATCAATACTGCCAGTGCGCTTTCTGCTCCGACACTGCTGGGGGATGAGAGAGATGCCATTTTGGCTAAATGGAACCAGCTTCAGGCTTTCTGGGGAACAGGAAAAGGATATTTCAACAATAACATTCCTCCCGTGGAGTTTACACAGGAAAATCCCTTCTGCCGATTTAAGGTATTAGTTGTGTCCTTGATCTTCATTTAAAGAGTGAATATAAGAGATATAGTAACTTTTAGATTAAAATGACATTTAAGAATGATATGGCTACACTTCTTATTTTAAATAAAAATTACAAATTTAAAGCAATTTTTGAAAAATGTTATGTATGGTTCAGAGTGACCACGCAGCCACCACAATAGGACTGAGGAAAAAGGTGTTGGTAGAGGAGGAACAATGGCTGTGGTGGTACACCCTGAATCTCTGCTCAGGGGTGGACATAGAGGGACCGGAAGTCAAGTCATCCTTAGCTGTAGAGCAAGTTGGAAACCAGCCCAGGCTACCTTAGACCCCATCTCAAAACAAACAAACAACCCAGGGCTGTAGTGACCCCGTGGGTGAAGGAACTTGTCGCCGAGCCTTATGATCTGAGTTTGGCACTCTCCCCAAAGCACATGACTCCCGAAAGTTGTCTTCTTACCTCCCTGTGAGTGCCATGGCAGGGCCCCCTTACATACATACATACATACCTACACACATACATACCTACACACACACACACACACACACACACACACACACACACACACACACACAAACAAGCAAAAAAGAAAGTGTGGTCTGCTTGTCACTTTAAAGGTACCAGACTTAGGCTGTGTTCATCTGACTAGTCAGGGAAGTTACCCCAGGCAGTGCACGGATTCTCCTTGGCATGTGGAACCTGTTACTCTTAGAGTCGGGTGCCAAAGGCGCTAAAACAGTAATGGCCGTTTTCTTTGTTTTGCCTCATTGTCTATAAACAACCATCTCATTGAAATTTGACAGTGGGGAGTGTTCTACTTGACCATTTGTTTTTCTTTCTTTGTTTTTGGTTTTTGTATATATATGATCTCTCTTCTCTTTCTTTTTTTTTTTTTTATTTTTTTGTTCTTCCAAGAAAAACAGAAGAGAGGCTCTTGCTGCAATAGTCCAAGCTGGCCTTAAACTCATGATCCTCCTGCCTTAGCCTCTTGAGTGTTGAGATGGTAAGGCTGCACCACCACACACAGCTGACAGTGTATTTTCCACATAACAAATCAATATATTACAATCAAGCTTGTACTTCACCCTGCCTGTTGGGGAGTGTAAAGGTATGGGGGGCAGGAGGGGTGGTGCTTAGGAATCAAACCCAGAGAGAACTCATGTGTCCTAGTTACACATTCTGATACTGAACTTCATCTAGCACCTCAGGACCAGAGAAGTATTAGATTTTAGACTTTTCAGATTTTTGGAATATTTATATATAATGGCATACCTTGAGGAACTCTTCTAAATAGGTGATTCATGTAGCTTCAGCTTGTACATACAGCTTAAAGGTAATTTTATACAGTAATTTTAGTGTGTTTGTGTGCTGTGACCCATCATATAAGGTCAGGTGTAGAATTTTTTTTTTTACTTGAGACATCATGTTAATACCAGAAAGTTTCAGAGTTTGGAGTACTTTATAGTTTAGCTTTGCACGCTAGGGTTATTTAATTTCTATATCACCTGAATCATTAGTTGAAATTTTTAATATTGTTGTTTGGCAGTAAGATAATACAGTAGTAAACATAGAAGTATCAGTTTAAATGTTTTAACTTTTCTTAAAAGTTGCTATATAATATACATAGTAAAATGTATAATGTACACGTGAATGAACTTACTTTTTTAAAAGTTACATGTAAGTGGTGACAAAGGACAAAGTATTCTATATATAAGCTATTTTAGCAATGTGTAATTCCTTGTATTTAATAATATGTAGTATTTTATTCATTTAATGTTACACTAATAACCTGTTTCATAGTTTTATAACAGGTAGTCATAAACTAGACATTTTTGATACATTAGTATCTTGACAGTGTCACTGTACCTTAAACATACCGTGTTTGTGAATTGTTTCTTTAAAATGTAAAGATTCATGAGTCACCTTCTGCAGTTACATGTATGACATATGAGTTGTTCCAATATATAAGAAACCTCTGAAAATGAATGGCTTTCAAAATCTTCCAGAGAAAATTCTTTAGTTCCTATACTGGAGAGGAAATTTACATTTATGTTAGTTTAGGGAAATGAAGTTTGCTCATGTGGTGTCCCACAGAGCGCTTTCCATTTCCATAATCTTAGCAGATGCTGAGCTATTAAACATTTTGTGTAAAGTCTGCATGTATTTTTGATACTTTTGTTCATTTCACAGGCTGTAGGTTATAGTTGTATGCCCAATAATAAAGATGAAGATGGACTGGTGGTTTTAGTTTTCAACAAGAAAGAAGCAGACATTAGAAGCCAGCAGCAGCAGCTAGTAGAATCATTGCATAAGGTTTTGGGAGGAAACCAGACCCTGACTGTCAATGTGGAGGGCATTAAGACCCTGCCGGATGATCAGTAAGTAAACATGTGTGGGTTGTTCCCTTGTGGGTTCGCTGCTGCTGAAACATAAATCTCAGCAGAATGCTATCTCTAGTTGGTGGTTATTACAAATTTATAGACGTGTTGAAAAGTTCCGTTTTCTTGGTTTTGGATTTTTTTTATCAGATAAACTTTGCAGATACTAGGATGTAGATTTTGTTCAGGAACAGCAGAGCGCATTGCAGCTGCATGCAGACTGAAGCTATAACTGGGTTTCCCTCCCACCCGCCAGTTCCTGAATATTACCCTGAGGCTTAATATTAAGTTCAAACTATTTGACTGATGGCTCAGGCTTATTACTAACTAGCTTTTACATCTTAAATTAATTCATTCCTATTAATCTATTGCCACGTGCTAGCATCTCCCTGACTCCAACCCCTTTTCTCCTTATATCCGTTTGGATTTTCTGCCTGGCTCTGTTGTGGCTATTGGCGAAATTAACTTCGTTATTAACCACTGCTAATAAATCATATCCACATCATGAAGCTTTACTGGAGCGTTTTAATAACTGACTCCTTTTGCTTGTTTTGGTTTTCGTTGCTGTTGTTTTTGATGGGTTTTAGACGGTCTTACTGTGTAGTGCTGGTTATCCATCCACTTTGTACTTCGAGTGCTCCTCCTGCCTTGTCTGCATGCTGGAGTTACAGAGATGCAGTCCCGTGTCCAACCTGTGCACTCTGCTCGGGTTCATGAACAGTGTGATTGCTCTAGTTCCCTCGTCCTTTCGTCATTTCTTCTTGGTGGCAAGATACTTACTTTTGGATATTTAAGGTTAGGTGAATCATATCGTTACTATTTCTAGTAATACCCGGTGACTGACTCAGGTTGTACTTCTTGGGTCTTGCTTGCAACAGGCAGCCCATAAGTTTTGGCAGAATCATAAGAGTCAATAGTTCTAGGGAGCAGGGAACAGTAAGAAACATTTGATAGAGAAATATACTGCTGAGCAAATCTTCTCAAAAAATAAATTCTAATTTTTTAAAGCATTATTCTTTTTTAAAACTTAATTTTTTTAAGATTTATTTATTATGTATGAAGTGTTCTGCCTGTATATATGCTTGCACACCAGAAGAAGGCACCAGATCTCATTATAGATGGTTGTGAGCCACCGTGTGGTTGCTGGGAATTGAACTCATGACCTCTGGAATAATAGCCAGTGCTCTTAACCTCTGAGCCATCTCTCCAGCCCTTAAGCATTATTCTTTTATTTTGAGATAGTTTTTTTTTTTTTGTTGTTGTTGTGTTTTTTTTAAGATTTATTAGTGTTCCACCTATGTGCAAGAAGGGGGCACCAGATCTCATTACAGATGGTTGTGAGCCACCATGTGGTTTTGCTGGGAATTGAACACAGGGCCTCTGGAAGAGCAGTCAGTGCTCTTAACCTCTGAGCCATCTCTCCAGCCCCCTAAATTCTATCTTATTTACCTACCTCGTTTTTGTTTTTGTTATTTAAGATGATTTATAAATGAACCTTACTTTCAAGATTTAAAAAAAAAAAACAAAAAACTTTTCTCTTGTAAAAACCATTTTTGACTTCAGCCATCAGTCTTTTCAGACATTTGTGGCTGTGGGTCATGAAGTCCGTGTGATAAATTGGTTGTTTGCCTCCAGGACAGAAGTTGTCATTTATGTTGTTGAGCGTTCTCCAAATGGCAC